TCTCCTTACTCTTCACCACGCGCGCCGGCGTCATCACCAATGTCATCTTTTCCATCTAAACCGTATTGTATGTTACTCTAGCTTACTGTCTCATCGTTTCTCCTTTTGACGGTCATAATCCTTCTTCTACATACTATTACTCTGATATTACACACTATACCAACTGTTATAACTGTCTAATGAACACAATATTGTGTGTTTCATTTAATAATATTTAAGCAAGTTTAGTGAAAGGTTTGATAAAATTATTCAGACGTATTTGTTGTTTCGAAAACTGCTTCTTAGTAGTAACCTAAGTGGAAGTAAATATTTGCTATTACGTGGTATGTGGCTAACTAATGTGTGAAAAATCAGTCGTGTACGCATACTTAAATACAATTTTATCTTTAAAATAATTGTAAACCAACCGTAAAATTACTAATCGCAATAACAATTCTGGAAGTATTGAAAAGATAAACATGTCGGGCCTTAGTGTCTCGCGTGTCGCAGATATTGAACAGCGTAGAGCCCACGTAGCTCCGCATGTAGCGCAGCGCCACGCGACCGTGGATCTTACAAATAGGAATTATTAACAAAGGTAAGTATAAGATATCCAAAAACTTAATATTAAATTCCTATACTTATAAACAAATCGTAAATTCGTTTTGTTTTGTTAACGTCATTATTGACATGAACAATTTGGTATACCGTATTACTATAGTAATGAAAATTGTAGAAAAATCTGTTTGATACTTCAACGTGATCTCAGCAGAACATACCTAAATATTTTGTATGTATAATGTAGCAAATCTCTACCCAAGCGTTTTTTTTCTGTGTCCCTCCTACCTCATACTCTAGTTCTCTTTGGAATCAAAAAGATCTCACTTCTTTGTAAATGATGTTTTTAAAATTGTATAACGCTCACCTCATCGTCAGTGAGTTCAACAAGATGAGATATATCTTGAACGTCGACAAATTCTTCAACAAATTTCGTCGTCGTAAATGAGTTTCTTGCCGTAGTCATAACGCGAGGTATTGCATTTTTTATTTCTAAAGGTTGAATGTAACGTTTTTTACGGGATAATCTAGAATAAGTATTGTTATTTTAAAATGTTAATTACGATACAACTGTATAATAAATGATTAAGTGTAAAGTAACTATTACTAGCTATTTTTTTCTGTACATTTATTTATGATATTGTTTCCTAACTAAAGAATGTCATCACATTTTCCCATAGCAACTTACTGAATATCTTTCGTGATTTCTTCTTTAATAGTTTCATTGTTTTTATCTTGTTTGTTAATATTTACGTAAATATCAGGAGGTAGTGTTTGGTTTAGTAGGACGGCCATGACTGGGGCAGCACGAACCACATTCTCCCAAGACTCATGCTTTACCATAGAGTGTGTCACCGGTTCTGGACTTCAAAAAAGGTTATAATTCCCTATTTACTATAGTCGAATTCGTTTTATAAAATATATTAAAGGCATATTTTCTAATAAATAGAATTTAAATATCTTTTAATTTTGTGATTAGCTAATATGAACCTACTAAAGCGGTACTTAAAGATTGTTTTTGAAAGGTTTTACTGAAGTACTACTTTGTACGGTTTTTTTAAACAGCATATTAAAGTCAAAAGTAATATAGCATATGTAGTATACAGAATCTTACACGTCAATTGGATATGTGTAAATAACATTGCTTGTTTTATCTCGGGTTATATTTACAAGAGCTCTGTTAGTATAATCCAAATCTGAAATGAATATAATTTAAATAAATCTAAAGTAGATTTCTATAACTAATCAACAGAAAATGATTACCTGTTTCATTATCCGTAAAGTTTTTCTTAACGGGATTTATAAAATGACTAATTTCGGTAGACTCTATTTTCGAATGATTAAAATCTGTCGGATCAATTTGATGAGAGAACGTCTTTATTTTTGTAACGCCGCTAAATAAAAATTGTTTAATTTCATTACATTTCATATAATTCTTATTTAAAATATATCAATAATACGTACCTTATAGTAACGTTATTCATTTGTTGATTGTAATCTATTGATACTTCGTTGCTGCTTACATTATGTATTAAACTTTTCATTTCGTAGGGTCTTAAATACACTAAAACAATATTTTGTATAACATTTAATACATATTTAATATTAGCAATCTTGTAACTAGACGATGAACTTGGTAATAATAAAAACGGTAATATTAAAAACACGAAAAGATAGTTGGTTGTCCTAACCTATCTCCAAAACTGCATGACGGATCTTGATGAAATTGGACGCTGAATTAGAACACATAGGAACTAAACTATCTTTAATAGAGTTGCGTGCAAATACTAGTTATCAATAAATATAACAAGCGTACATCAGTAGTTTTCAAAGGTCCCTGTCCATCGTGAAATTGTTAAAAAAACAATATTGGCGTTTTATAGCGTCTCTTTTATTGCGTTTAAGTTTTAACCATAGGGGTGGAAACACAATAAAGTACCGTAGGAGTCCTAATAAAACATTATCTAGATACTTTTGTAATCATCGAAGTAAAATGCACCATACGGGTGTAAATAATTATTGTAATCATAGAAATTTGTCAATTTTTTTAATAAAATGAAGAAACCTATTTATGCTCCAGCATGTGAATTCCGTTACAAAGAAATACCAATACTTACTAGAGTATAGTAAAAAATTAGTATTGGAATTTACTTAAACAGTATCTATTTGATTTTACAAAAATAATCGTATATGGATCTATTTTATAAATGTTACCTTATTTGAAAATGCTTTGATCATTTAAAATAATATGCTGAAATATAATTACCGCTCGAATTTTGTTCCGAATCTAATATCTTCTGGTCAAAATAATGTTGACTTTGGTAAGCGGATGTGTGACTGAGAGATTTTAAAATATCATCGATAATTTCTTGTGGCTTATTTATTGTTTCTGTGGTTAAATCACTTGAAATTGACAACTCGTTTATTGAATACGTGGATGGAAAGTGCATTGAAACCTCATCTTCAGTTGTGGGATATATATATGAATTGATCCTAAAAAGTAATAGAATTTAATTTAGATATTATGTACGAGTATATCTATACTAACATTATAAAGGAGAAAGATTTGTTTTTCTGTATATAACTCAAAACTTACTAGGCCGATTTTAAAATTGATTCGCCGTTAGAAATCTAATTTATCTGTGAGTAATATAGGCTATGTTTTTAAATTTCACGCAGGCGAAGTCCCAAGCAACAGTATCAAATATTTCACTTAACACAAATGCAAATTATTATTCTTAAACGCTCTTGGAGGTTAGATTTGAGATTTTCATAGTTAGCCGTTAATCAATTACATTGAAAAACAATCCTTTAAGATAAGACCACCGGTCGGTTACTAAGTTCGATACGAAAGTATGTGCACGAATAAGGTTCTTGTAAAGCCGCGGTAACTTTGATAACTTACTGCCTTCGATATGTAGTAGATTTAGCTTTAGAGAACAACGTCGATAGCCTTTTCTTAAAATTGAGTCTCCTGTTTGAAAAACTGTTATATCTGTGGGACAGTCTATGTTTCCTTTGATTTATCGTTTCGTAATTAAGTCTGTCAAAATGTACATTAATTAAGTCTTAAGGATAACTGAAATACAATGTATTAAAAATACTTTCTGATGCATAATTCTTTTTTATACGTTTCCTTCAAAAGCAAACAATCATTTTTCTAAACGTGAAGCGGAATGGAAGGTGCACTCGGCAATGTTACAGGCTACTGTCTTTTTTTTAATTTTTCGTTTATTAAGTCGCATGTATATTATATTATTACTGGTATATGATAAAATCCAATCAGGACTACATTAACAACATCTCTTTGCTCATATTGAAACTATTAATTACCGCGGATCTTGAGTATAAAATCCAGTATAATGTTCTGATGAAAGTTTTAATTTATCTGTGGAAAAGTCACTGAGTGTCAAATCTTTTGATGTGACCAGCGAAAACTGCAGCAAAGGTAATATACTGGTGTCGTAATCAGCCCCTTCTCTGCAAAATACAGTACTTACAATGTTATTTACAATTCTTCAAGAAATTTAATCTATACTCATACTAAAAAGGAAAAAAACTTTGTTTGATAGTAATGAAATAACTCAAAAACTACTGGGCAGATTTAAAAAAAAAAACTCTTTTACCATTAAAAAGCTACGTTGTCTATGATTAACATAGGCTATGTTTTATATTATATTTTAATAACACGCGGACGGAGTCGCGGGCGAAAGCTATAAAAAATATGTAAAATGCTCTCTTTTTTTGTCTTAACGACGCCTACAATTTTCTCCAAATGTATTATAGGTTAAATAGAACGGTACCTCGGCGTGACATCGTTTATAAGTTCTAATACTTCCTCTACGTCATCTAGTCTATTGAGTGGAATATTCCCAGACACATTAACTAGCGGCAATTCTATTTCAATATAATCCGAGCCTTTGACCAGTTTTCTCTTCGTCGTCGTTGATGTTAAAGTTGTACTCTCTTCTTCGTATTCTTCTTCACTGTCAGAACTAAGAACAAACAGTTAAAAAACTGTTTTAGCCACCAGCTAATGTCTATTTTTAAACAGAAAAGTAAAATCCTATCATAATTGCTTACATTGTCATACTAATCTTACTAATAATAATATTATTAATGCGAAAGTTTAGATGGATGGTTGTTCGTAGTTTGTAACCTAAACGGCTCAACAGATCTGGATGAAATTTGACATAGATGGAGAACATAGTCTGGAAGAATACATAGGCTACACATTTTTGATTTTTTTTTTAAGATCGACGCGAACGGAGTCTCAGCAAAAACCTAGTATAAAATAATAGTTACAAGAACAGCCAAACCTGCTATTAGCAGTAGTAGTTGGTGTTGTCGTATGTAACGTGTAAAATTGTGTAAAGTTTTTCAACTCTTGACGCATAACAGAGTCCGGCAGAGGGCCCCAGTAGCCACCAAAGGTTTCACCTATCTCGTAGACAATTAGCTGATGATTGTCGTCTGTACAAGACCTTAACAGGGTATTAGCAGATACATATTGAATAACCAATATTATGTTACTTCCAGATTCAGCCCTGTGAGAAATAACTGTACATTACTTCTTTGAAATTAAAAATGTTTAACGTTTACAAAAGTTGCTAAATTAGTACCGAATGGTTTAATAGACGATGGTCGAGACGACGGATTTTTAGATTAACAAACATGGAAATAATATACAAGCTACACTACGAAATTACTTTGAAAATGTTTAAATCATTTACCTAGCTTTACAACAATAGCTATGCTAATTTAATTCAATAACACTTATGCTAGCACTATATTTCTCTCCACTCACCTAACACTAATAGAACAGCTGTACGGTAAATCCAATCTAGAAAAATGTAGGACTTGCGAATTGGCGTCCAACACATGCCTGCCTAGGAACACGGAAGGTAGTGCCCGGCGTCGACAATACTCCGAGACATCGCGGTGATGGGTGTACCTCTTATCAGACACATGCGCCTCAGTTAACTCTCTAACTGCTAAATATGCGAAAACCATTAAAACTTTAAACATTGCAATCGTTTTACATCATGGCCATATAGATTACTGACGGATAAGCATAACTGAGTTACCATTATCCTAAGTTAAGCATCTGCTAGAAAAATACTATGTATTCAGTTATAAATTGCATATAGAATCTAGCTAGTCCTTCTATTTATTAATTACTAGATTTTGCCCGCGATTCCGTCCGCGTGGTATTAAAAAAAACAAAAGTAAGTAGCCTATGTGTTCTTCCAGGCTATGCTCTACATCTGTGCCAAATTTCATCCAGATCCGTTTAGCCGTTTAGACTACAAACTCAAACAAACATCCATCCATCTATCCATCCATCCATCCATGCTTCTAAACTATCGCATTTATAATATTAAGTAAGTATGATTATAGTACAATCGATTAATAATCTCTTTTATTTCGTTTCCCGCACTTTTACATTTAAAATATCTTTGCAGGACTAGAATGGTTCTATTTTGTGACTGTTTTATATGAAATCACTCACTAGAAATGATACTCAATATTTTGTACGGCACAAAATGTACTCTATCGGTACCTATGATCCATACATAACACACTATAAAATGCCTACTTGAACAATAAATTAAAATGATTCGATGTCAGACGTCGACGATAGGGGTCGCGTGACCCGCACCGTATGAAAGAATTCAGGGAACAGGGAGCGGTAAGTATACCCGGGCGAGCGGCGCATGCGCTGTTATTTGTATGATTATTAAACGTTTTAGTGGCGGCATTAGATGCACCGATAATGTTTCATACTCAACGTTTGGGGTATCGCCTGCAATTAGAGATTTTAAGCGATAACATTACACTATTTTTGTACCAGCATAATTTTTAATGAAGCTTTAATATATGCAAGGGAAAATAAAAAATATACTGCCACCGCTTTACTCCATTGAGGTAAATTATTTTTTTAAGGCTAAAGAAAAAAAACGGTTTGATGCAAAAATATTAACGCATCTTTGTTTTGTGCGTCTCCGTATCTAATAGTAAAATCGATGATTTGATTGTGAGAAACTATTACCCTTACTCTAATTCTTTCGGCCATCCTAATCTTACAATGTAGTAACGCAAAATTAACCACAGCGTTCTTTTAAGCCAACTAGGTATCCACACTGCCGATCTGGATCCAGTCCTTCCATTCTTCGGACATGACGCATATCTCCGAGGTGTCCGAAGCTGAACCGGTACAGTGTAAGTCTAGATGGAGGTGGGTTTTTATTGTCTTAACAGAATCCTTTCTTTAGAGTTCTTAGTTTTTCTTTTCTAATATTCCATATAGTAATAAGAAAATAGTTTAAAAATAACGCCTGTGCAGCAAAATGCGCTATTTTTTTATTCAACATTAAACCAATGCTTAAAATCCTAAAATAATTTACTAATGGCAGTACTGCTTCTGATGTCAGTGTCCAATTGACTTTTTTGATTTGACAGTTTGACAGTGACACTTGTGATAAAAATATTGCAGAAGGTTATGAAAGACTGTTTTTAAAATTAATTCTTTAAAAAATCCTATCTATGTATTAACATTTACATATAACCATGCCTATAACAGAGTATATAGCGTCGTTATCTCAAAATCCGTATTTCGGCGCTGGTTTTGGCTTATTCGGCATAGGAGCCGCAGCCGCTGTTCTGCGAAAAGGATTACAGACATCAGTAGTATTATTCAGGAGACAATGCATGATAACTCTTGAAGTGCCGTGTCGGGACAAATCGTATCAGTGGTTATTACAATGGATCACTCAGAAAGGTGCAAAGCACACACAACATTTGAGTGTTGAAACATCTTTTCTACAGAAAGATACAGGACAGATTAAAACTAAATACGATTTTATACCAAGTGTTGGTCAACATTTCTTTAGGTTTGCTTAGCTGTTTACTAATATGTTACATATTATATCAATATATTTTATATGAACATTTTAAATTGCAGGTATGGAGGAACTTGGATAAGAGTTGATAGGACCCGTGAACAACAAACAATAGACTTACACATGGGTATACCATTTGAAACTGTAACACTTACTGCATTTGGACGTGACAAGCAAGTTTACTATAATATCCTTGAGGAAGGTAATTACATAATATTTTATCATATTAGCGATACAAATTAAAATTATGTAATTAGTATTTTTATATAATTTCAGCAAGAACTATGGCATTGAAACAACATGAAGGCATGACAGTTATGTATACTGCAATGGGTTCCGAATGGCGTCCATTTGGTCATCCCCGTCGCAGGAGACCACTAAGTAGTGTGATACTCCGTACAGGACTTGGTGAAAAGATATTGACTGATTGCTTAGATTTTATCGACAATCCACAATGGTATACTGAACGAGGAATCCCATATCGAAGAGGTAGTTTTTTTATGTGTTCTAAATCAAATTTTATTAATGGTAGATCAACAACATTAACCTTTCCTTCAATCAATTCAATTCTTGCAAGTAATTCAATTAGACATGTGTTAAGGTTAACATTTGTTCACAGTAGTAATATTTCTATATTATACTTACTATCTCAGGTTACCTCCTTTACGGTCCTCCTGGTTGTGGAAAATCTTCATTCATCATGGCATTAGCTGGTGAATTAGAATACAATATATGTGTTCTCAACTTATCAGAAAGAGGACTTACAGATGACAGGCTAAACCATCTACTTAGGTTAGTTTTTCATGTATTCACTTATGGATAATTTTTAGGTAAGTTAGTTTTTTTACGTGTGCATTTATTTAGTCTGTATTTAAAAATAATTTTCCATATATAGATAATAGATTAAGAACCAAAATAAATTCCTAAACAACCTTTGAGAAATGTATTTTATGGATATTTTTAGTGTCGCGCCTCAACAATCGATTATACTATTAGAGGACATTGATGCAGCGTTCGTATCGCGTGAAGACTCACCTTCGCAGAAAGCAGCATACGAAGGACTAAATCGTGTAACATTCAGCGGACTTCTCAACTGCCTGGACGGTGTAGCCTCTACAGAAGCACGAATTGTTTTTATGACCACAAATTATCTTGAAAGGTAACATTGTCTTATAATAAAATTAATATTGACATCACTAATTCATCATTCATCAATCTGAAGAACTGTGACTTCTGAATATGATGAAATAATAACATCAAAACATACAAAATAGCTAATATTTAAATTTTACTCTTAATATTATAAATGTGTTTTTAAATTGATAGATGTTTGTTGGAAGGTATGTACCTGGTTGAAAAAAAAAGTATAATGTATAAAATAAAAAAAGGTAATGTTGTAAATGAATTAAGTAAAGAATATTAAAGGGTTTCGCTTCAATGCTAGGGGAATTGTATAATCAAATAAAATATATATATTGCCTGGACATTGATTTTATTTAACAAATTTAGTGCCAATCATACCCTACAAGGCCACAGTAGTATGTGGGAGTGGCATTGAATGTCTTGACAATATGATGTATTTATATAGTTTATTGTTTTAGATTGGATCCAGCTCTTGTAAGACCAGGTAGAGTGGACTTGAAGGAATACGTCGGGTACTGTGATCAGGAGCAAGTGGAACTCATGTTTTTGAGATTTTATAAAGACGCAGTAGCAGCAAAATCTTTTGCAGAAGAGTAAGTTTTACCATCATCTTATGCTTACACTACACACTACACACACGCACATACTGCACTACACTATAAGATTTTTGGTACTTTTATGAACAAATTCATAATTTCTGTATTGTAAATAAATGATAAATATTTGTTACTTAGGTCTTGTTCCAATTTTTATAGAAACTTACTCAGTTTGGTGTAATTTTATCATTTATTGGCTTTTTTCCAGTGTCCTTTCAAGAAAGAAGCCAGTTAGTCCTGCTCAGATTCAAGGATATTTTATGTTCCATAAACACTCAAGCCCTAAGGAAGTACTAGCTGATGTCAATTCTATTTGGACACTCGGATAATACTGTGATAGATGACATTTTATAGAAATAAGTAATTATTTATTGCTATAAATACATGATCCCTTGTTAAGTGGTTTTTTTAAGGAAAATGTTAATTGAAAATTTAGTTTTATTGTTCAATAATTATAATAAATGAATTATTAATATCAATGGTTTCCTTAAAGTTTTATTTTATTGATATAGCATTTAGTTATTTTTTTCTTTAATTGGAAATTGTAGAAATTTGTGGAATTGGTACAATCTACAACTAGAATTTAATGATATCCTAATAAATTACACAGTTCCATCATAAAAGGAAGACATTCTGCAAAATGGCTAATACAAGGAGAATATTGTTATATGTCAGAAATAGTATTCAAGGTGTTGAAGTTTAGCAAATCTAGAAATTGAAATGGATTACATCTGTTGTAAAATAATATTAAGAAAGTATCGCAAAAAATCTGACCAAGTAAATATAGCCATAGGTGACATTTAGGGCCTGTCCCACAACTCTTGTAAATTGTGAGATAACAATCCAATGTATAAAATATGCAATGGAAATATCGGATTTTGGTACTCATTCTGGCAATGATGTCGCTTTTAATCTATCTGAGCCTCTTTCAGCCAGTGGTGGGACAATCCCAGGCTTTTTCCACGTTACTAGAGCAGCCACGCCTATGAAAATGGTTTCGACAAGGAGGTTGTTACAATGTGTAACCACTATATACATTATCCTGGTATATATTCCAACATGAAAAGGTTCAAATATGATTAAAGTATCACATTATTCTTTATAAAGTATATTTATAAAAACTTAACATTAATTGTTTTGATATCACAATCGCAACAATGAGATGTAATGTTATATCCTATTTCCCGTTACATATTTGTACGTTTTCAAATGTACAAAATTTTATTCGCAACATCGAATGTACATCTAACTAATATTATAAATGCGAAAGATTAGATGGATGGATCTTTGTTAGAGTTTGTAGCTTAAACGGTTGAACGGATCTCAATGAAATTTGGCATAGACGTGGAGCATAATCTGGAAGAATACACCGCCATATTGACAGGGCGGTATTAAAAAAATGTGACTTAAAAAATATCCATCCATATCAACTACGCTCCAGTGAAAATCCAGTCAAAATCGGCCCAGCCGTTTCAGAGATTATCCGGAACAAACGATGCTTGCGGATAGACAGACAGACAAATATTTTTTTAAATGCGATTTTTATCACCAACGCAAATACATTATCTTCACGAACTCTGATTTTTTTTCATATTACGTACAGACACTCCAATTTTATTATATGTATATATATATAGAGGATATGATTGGCACTATTACACAATAATAACGAATATAAAATTAAAGAAACTTAAACACATCTACGTTATTATGTTTTAAACATATTTTCGAAACTCAATACTTTGTAAATAGCAAACAAAATTCCTCGTGATCATCAGAACTTCCGGACTGACTTTTTCCGCATTTTCGAGCATCTTGGAGACCACCTCACCTGAGTACACTTTGAGAATCTCCCATTGCCAATTGGGAGATAATTTACATATGTCAATCTCTGCATCATTAACACCTTTCACTTTAATAAAGAATCTGTCTTTCAAGTTGTACAGAGCTAAACAAAGCGCAACAGGCGACGCACTCTCTTGTTGAAAAACTAACTTAAACTTTAATAGACAAATATAATCCCTGATGCTCTCTAGCCCTATTTCTTCCGGGCTTAATAAATAAATGTTATGAATTTGCAACAATCTTTTTAAATACTTGAAGGGACTTGTCGTTGTTGTATTAGGAAGATCTATTGAATTCATTACAACTTTCGCTACAGAATTATTTTCGTACGACATCGGCATACTAGTACCAGGATTTGTTTCTAATAAAGTCTGTGGGTAAGCATTGGTTGGAAAACCAATCGCATTATCGAATCTAGGTAGCGGTGCTATGTTCATATTGATGCCATTGGTATTTTGATATGCCATATTAACATTCTGAATTTGAGCAAACATTTGCGGCTGTGGAATGTATTGGTTGGTCATAACATTCAAAGCCGGGTTCGACATCAACTGTGATGCCGATTTTACTTTTATTCTCGGAAAGTTCGTCTGTTCAGGGATTGCCGTATCGGATAAGTTAGATTGTATTTTACTCGGCCCTGCAATCGGTGTAACCGATACGGGAAACGCGGGTTGTTGCTTTACGCCTTCTCCTGACGGTGCTAAAGATACAGTAGATGTGATTAGTGGTGTTACCACATTATCGTCTGTTTCAATAATTGGCATATCAACCGGAACCGATTTATCTTCTTTGTTTTTAATTTTCTTCTTTTTACTGACAGACGAATTAGCACCCTGTGGTTTTTTTGTTAATTTTTTTGGGTTCGGTACAGGATTCTCATTTAGAAGTTTTCTTAAAATTTTATCTTTTTCCTGTCCAATATTAATCGCACTTAATACTGCCCCTCCCCCTGTACTATCGGCATCCTCAATTCTATCGACCTGGTTTGGATTCTGTAAAACTGTCCATCCAGACTCACCATCATTCTCATCATGACTCTTTAATTTCATCATGATTCTAACGCAATCGGTTTTCTTATTTGATGTTTTCGGTATATTAGGAGTCCACACAATTTCAAGATTTTGATGTTCTAAATACCTTAAAATACCAGTACAACTAAATGGAGAGTTATTTATCATCTTCTTGCCTATACTTAGAACTTTGTGTTTAATATGAGAATCTAATTTAGTCGCTTGTGTTTCAGTCAGACAAGGCATGTTAGCGTCAATAGTATCGTCTGATTCTAGTCTTTTTAAATGTTTCTTATAACACAGGGATATTATGTTATTTATAGTTTTGTACTCGCTATTATTTACCGATGAGCTTAAATTTGTACCACCGTTTGTTAGAGCTTCGCCGCTTTTGATCGACTCACTGTCGGAGTCATCTATGCTTATGCATTCTTTCTCATTCATCTCGGTAACATTAGGCTTTGCAGGTGCTTCGTGCGTTAATGGACTATTTAACATAGAGGAATCTAAATCGTCTTTTTCAATAACAACAGTGTCATTTGAAAGTATTCTATTTTTTCTTCGTCTATTTTTTAATCCTATTGGAATTGTATCGTTACTATCATCAGATATATAATTATAGTTTAGTTCGAGCAATGATCCTACCGATCCTCCGTCAGATATGTTGTTTGAGGTCTCTTTTGGCCTAATAATAACATGATAAAAGTTGTGCATGAAATGAGTTATTTTATCAGAACTATGTACAACATACTTTTTAGATTTACAAATATTTGATTTATTATCCAATTTATCCAATTTGACATAACAGTCGTGTTTAATCAAATCTGTGTACTTCTGTATCATTGATGAATGTGTATTCATGTGTTTCATAATTTTGGATTTATTCCTACTCTGATAGTTACAAAATCTACATATAAACCACTTTTTATAGCCCAGTTCGAAAATATCTGGCTCCTTTGTGGACTGACAACTGTTTTTTCTTTTTTTCTTTGATTTTATATAACATTTTCCATCTGATGTTTCCGACAAAGAACTACAATTGCTAATAATTCTCTTTCGTAACACATTATTTCCCTCACTGGATATTTCTTGAGAGGAAGTTACAACATCATCATCCCGCTGTATTGCTGGACTGTATGTTGTCTCCTAGGAAAAAAATCTTATATCAAACTATAGCTTAAAAACACACTGTATGAAGTAGTAAGATGTACCCCAGATAAAGACTGATCATTGTGACAATGAACAAGAAGATAATAAAAAGTTTTTCAACAGGAATTAATATATTGCTATATTAAACTGAAGGCAAACTTTATAACACAGAATTATTGCTTAAAGACTATAGAATTATTTTGTGTAAGTTTTAACATTATACCCCTTATCATGTAACAAAAATATACCACATACCGGGCACTCTTTTACAATCGACTGAATTAATAAAAGTACAATAAAAATTAAGTACTTGTAAGTAATGTTCTACTTTGAACAATTTTAATTAAAGAGAGATGTTACAGTTTATATCCATGGCCAAAACAAATTGATTAAAACAACAATTTTGTCACTACATTTCAGTTTTTTTTTATAGAACGAGTGTATAACGAATGTATTTCTTATATAGTACAGGCAATCCTGATACATGTCGGAGGCAGACTCTCGTCAGATTGCTGCACAAGCAAAGTATTGTACCTTACCCTACTAAGTATATGTTAATAGAGATGGTTATTTATGACCTGTGTCACACAGCATCAAGTAGAAGAGAGTAGTGTAAAATTTTAAGTAATGACTTACCGTTTTAAGTTGTAACTTTTCTCTAATTTTTTTTTGTTTTTCTATATAATTAGTTTTCACTTCAAAATATGTTCTTAATGTTGACTCACAATCCTTACAAATTAACTGGGGCAGTGCATCATAAGGATCAATCTGAAAAAAAGGAATATAGTAAAGAAAATATAAGCTAGAATCAAAAACTCATTCTTCAGTTCAATGAATACATAAAATATTTTTTTTACCTCAATTTCATAACAGAACTTGATCTGCTTTTGGACGGCAGGCATTATTCGGTATGCCCCCGTATTTTCTAAACAGAGTCTACAAGTTATGAACAGTTTAGGGTCGATTTCGAACATTTTGGAATCGTTCATTGTAGCTGAAAAATAATAAAACGTTAGCTTATTATAAAAACCACACAAAAGTTTTTCAAGATTTATCATTTTTAAATTTTATTTACATTAAAGTTATTTGAATAGTAAACACAAAACTTTTGATTGTGTACCTAACACAAGTTCGTGCTTTGTTAAGACTTATTTTAATAACTTATCTATTATTATTAAATATATAAAAATACAAACAATCGACTTTACTGCAAATAATATCTTCTAAGTAATTAATAAAAAACTGCGAAGAACTAGATTATCCTATTTATTACACATCTTTTACAATATCGAAGGCGAAATTATGAAAAACAATGAAAAAGGCCGATTTGACACTTTTTCGACGTTTGAGTGTTCGAACTTGAAACTTCTCAAAACCATCTGGCGGTGAAAAGCGAAACTATTATAAATCTATTTTGAAACAGCGTCATCTAACATCAATGTTAAACACTACGCCAATATTGCCTTCACTGTACAATGTTTGTTTTGTAAACACATAAGAAAGTCGTTATTTTTTAAATCTATTGTGAAACTAATATTTTACAACAGCAATTTATCCCATAATTCCTAGCTATGATACAATGCCATTCAAACCAGAAGCGTTTTCATGTAAAACGCTGTACAAAACTCATTCTAGGTATCATAGGTGTAAAAGATCCGGAGATAGTGCACATCCCAAGGTTTAACTCCACCCTCAGTGTACAGTCAGTTCCTAAAATATGTAAACTTTTACAAAACTTTAGAAATGCGTTTAAACCTTGTCTCAAAAATACGTATTCACGTATTGGTTAGAGGCATTATTTCAAGAGCGGAATAAACGGCGGGACATGTGCTTACACATTTTTGAAAACAAACATTTTTAAGGTCTACACATTAGTATAGTGTATACACTTTTTTGCAGCTAACTATACACCCGACAACGATCGCCGTCTTAAGGTAATATTAAAATTTTATTGTTAAAATTAAAATTAAATCTTGTGTTCGTGGGTTTACTTCTAAATGTGTAACAAATTAAGATTTTAACTTTAATTTCATATTTACAAAGTTTACTACAAATGCAAAATGTATAATTTGTTTTTTTCTAACAAATTCGTATTAACTTAAAAAAACTCAATTAATATTGATTGGCGAGGTTACATATTAACAGAACTATAAGTTATAGTTACAATTCGATTGTTTTATAAACTGCATCTTACACAAAAACATTTGTTACTACTTTTAGTTTGCCAAGAAGTCACTGTACATAATTTTTCGTACTTCGTGTGCCGACTAAAGGCGAAGACAATACATAATGCATCGGTCCACGAATAATCTATGAGAAACTATTTGTGTCGACATAGACAAATTTGTGCATCGTATTTATTGGGAAAAAAGTTACTATCTAGGGTTTTGATGAGTTTTACTTTTACAAATTTTTTATAGCAGATACTATCCTGCCAACAAAGACATTTAAGTAATATAAAGACGAGGCAAAATAATCATTATTTCACTGGTACTTTATCTGTGAGGTACTATATCAGTTTTCGAGTTCAGTACGCCACCTTTTACTATAAAATAAAGTAAACGCAGCTGCAAAGTAAAACATAAGCATTTTAATGTTATTTAATGACATCTATTGACAATTAACTTAAATACAATTAATTACAATGACATGTGGGTTTGAGGATCTACCAATAGATAGCGTTAGTGACGGCTATGTGAAAAAACGTCTAAGTGAAGTGTTAACTTTGCCTGGTCTATATATTTGAATCTCTTTGCCTGCCAATAATAAAAATATAAAAGTGGTCATTGTGGTGATCAAAAAAGGTTAAGAAGCCCAGGTTTGGCGAATAGTACATTTGTACTAGTACAGCTTCTGGTCTCTAGATGGCATTAGCGCAATATTCACGAGTTTTAAATATTTCATGTTTCCTACAAATTACAATGAGACTTAGTTAAACGTTTTTAATAGATTTTACTATCTTCAAAGGGATAAAGTTCTAAAAATTGCATTTTATAGAATAGATAAATTAGAATTACTGAGAAAAATTCATGCTTCTAGAATATACTATACTAGTTCTGCCATCTGTTGACAAATAGTAAATGAAATCCATTTTTAGAATCAGCGCCATCTTCTGCTCGTTTTAAAAGACTTCCAAAAAGTTTCGAATTCAATAGCGCCATCTATTGATTTTAACACCGTATTAGACAAATATCAATAAAAATATTTAAAAACTAAATCAAGGCCAGATTCTTTAAATGTACGATATGTAGATTCCCTTATATTCTCTAAAAAAACCGGACGTGTTACATATAACTTTGATAAGGGAAGCGCACAGTTGACGATTTTTATTTTAATAGTTTTCATAACGAGTAAAACATAAAAGTCTTTAAATTCAAATATTTTAATTATTTTCAATAGAACATGTAACAGACATTACTCAATAAACATAACCAATTATGTCGATAACTAATTTGAACAATAAATTCAAGTAATCCCCACACTAGTGACTGCGATACACAACTAAACAACAAAATGCAAAACATTATTGTAAAATAAACAGCATTGTTGAAAATTGTAAAAAGGGTTTTCATTTTAACTAAATTATCGTTAATTGCGATGGGTTCACAATATATAACATTTGATAAGCAAATGGCAGTAGCCATCTTTGTAGTGGTTTTCATTCAGATTCAAAGATACGAGAGCTGATGAACATGTTTCTTCATAATAACTAAAAACCTAATTCTATGGAGATTTCAGGACATTTCACATGTAGTTCTTGCCTTGCAACAAAAGTTTATCACAGCTCAGTTAGATTTGTAATGTCAAGAGACATTAGTTAATTATTTACAAGAAAGCAGTTGCATTACACATAGCCATGGATGTTCAGGGTCCTAAAGCAAAAGTTAAGCTTATTATGTCCATTCTTATATACTAGCTAATACTATCATAAACAAATTCAATTCTACATCAGCAAGAATTAATATTGAAGTATGGCCTAAGTGCCATTTTGTCTCTTCTTTTTTTTTCACTAATTATCCATATCATTAAAAATATCCAAACACACATATGTATTTTTTTTGTCTTCTTCCTATTTCACAAAAAGAAGCTTAATTTATTGATAGTCAATGCTTTAGCAACAAGTCAATGGTTAAGCAATAAAATTGCTATATTAAGATAGCTAATTATTTACATAAAATAAAGATTTTTCCCGGACATCCTATCAGATTCTACTTCAACACGTCCAGGATTCAAAATTATAACGTTACTTTGAAATGTAACATGAAATACAAATCACTTAGTCACATTTATTTGCGCTGGCGACGCTTTTTCTTATTACGCGTCTGGTTTGTATTCTGAGAGTTTGCGGAAGTGGAAGGTCCATTTGGTAAGTTAATTTGTGCCGACTGAGGAGCTGATTGTGGAACTATATTAATTTGAACATGTCCGTTTTGTAGTGATGTCGCGGGCGTGTCCTCGTTCAATGCCATCCTCATGCGTTGCCGCATGCGCCTGCGCGCGTTGCGGGACATCGGCTGCGCAGGCGTAGGCGCAGGCGCAGGCGCCGGAGCCGGCGGTGGCGCAGGTGACGTAGACGATGCCGTATCATCGTCACTCAGTCTTCCATTATCTCCCTCTGCAGCGGAACGATTTGCTAAGCGTATTGCGCCAAACACTCGCGCCAACCCTAATGCATAATCATTTTCATGTCCAAGATCCTGAAGTGCCGCTAATTGTGTGCGCAGGTTGACAGTTTCATCGTATAAGTCTTGCATAGCGCTGTTGGCCCGAGGTTGTGCGGCACCAGGGAGGGAGATGTCCTGTGTGGTGCTGTCTCTGTTGCTCCCGCGTGTGGCAACCCTCATGACGGCGCGCGGCTGCGTCTGATGCGCCAACTGTTCAGGGGGCGTCGGACGCAAAGATAATTTAGCGTTCAGCGCACTCGCCGAAGTCAATGCTATAGCATTCAGTCCCGTAACAAATAAGGCATGGCCTCTTTTCTTAAGAGTACCTTCACAAGATCTCACGGATAATACCTGCAAAAAAATTTAAGTATTGAAAGGGTTTGGCTTGGCATGGTATGAAATAATGTTGGGGGTTCACAAGTTGAAGAAACAATGCAGCAATTCCCAAAAACTAGTAAAACTTTGAAAAGTGGCTTTAAGACAGTATAGATTGGGAATTATTGATCTAATAGTTATATTTATTTAAATAAAGGTAAACACTAAAAACAGTAGAAGTTTTTATTAATTTAATATTAAAATTTACTTACACAATCTGTAAATATGGCTTCACGGTCATTACCAGATAAGGTAAGTGTGTACGAGAATGTATTGGCCACCGATGGTGAAGCGGCCATAGTCAACCAAGCATAAATACGACTATCTGAAATTAAAAAAAAAAATTATAAAAAACCTAAAATTAAAACTTTGTTAAAATCTCTTTAATATCACTGTTAATTACCCTCTATATCAATGACTAAAAAGTAGATGCCCATATCAGAAACACGTACAGCAGTCACAATTCTGCCTGGTCTAGTGCTAAACTCCCAAGCTTGTACATATTCTCCAAATTCGGACTGACCCTAAAACAATAAAATAAAATATACACATTTTATAATAACATAATTAGTCACAAAATTTTAGTCTTTGTATTTACCTCAATAAGATCAGGAGAATGAAAATAACGCAGGTGGTTAAGTAAACGCGCAGCGGGCAACTTCTCAGCGTTTCCATTTTTGCAACAGAGGCAGCGAAAGACGCCCTTGCAGGCTTGTGGCACCCTCACAGTGACTTGCTGAAATATTAAGTCAACAATTAAATTTAATAATTCTAAAATTACTACTATTAATGTAATAATTCAGATTAATAATAGTAAGTAAACACTTACATTTGATTCATTTGAATTATTTTCACCTGCATCATTTTCAGTTTCTGCTGACACAGTGTCTTGAGCTGTTGTACTACTCTCCGAGGATCCAGATCCCACTTGTTTGTTACCTACTTTCTGTAATTTCTTTTAATCTTAATATTTTGATATAATCATTTGCCTACTTTAGAAAAAACCGAATTTCATATAACATACTGGGTATGAATGTCATAATATTTAAACTATCATAACATAATTGTACATGCCTCAATAATATTGAGCAAAACAGTGTGTATCAGCTGTTGATAATAATTATTAAGCAGTAAGTAAAACTCAATTGCAAAACTTGTATTCAAGAAAACGTTTTATTAAATTTAATGTTACATATACCTATTACAGAAATACTTTGCCAATCTATATTAATTTTTTTTTTTTTTTTAATATCCTAAGGTGACAAACTGGCCGCCTGTTTTGGCCAAATTAACGAACTGCTGCCCCAAAACCAAATTTTTTGCCTGCCTTCAATTGACAAAGGAGGAGATGCACAGAAAGAGGATATATCCTCTTCCTATGTGTCCCCACCTCCATCTAATCCACTTCCCGCTACCCTTTCCTTATTAGAAAAGGGTAGGAACGGAAAGTAACATTAATAACAAGTAGCATAGTGATATTAATTATAAATTATAACAATAAGGGGAAAAAATATTAACAAAATAAAAGTTAAGTCAAATAATAAGTAATACAAAACTCATAAAGCTGGTTTACTTACAAATGCTTTTAATTTTTTAAAATTGGCAATAAGTTCTTCCATAGCATAGTTTCGTGTGCCAAAGAAAAGAGCTCGACACACTGGGCAGACATCGAGACGTGCTTTGCATCTGCCACATACATGGTGGCCCTCATTACATTGAAATATCTGTCCTGATGGAATTTCATAGCATACTGGACATTGCAACAAGTCATCTAAATTAAGCAGTGATTCCGGCTGTAAAAATAACAAATATATTGTATTGCCTATATGTTCACTTACAATTAACAAAGCAAACAGGAGTTGGTGTGTAAGTGCCTTTCCTTATCTAACAACATATGAATTTAATTTCTGTTTATTATTATATATTATGTTGTAGATAAAACAATTCCCTAAACCTACCAACAATTACAATATTCAAGATAGGGTAGTCTTGAAAAATGTAGGACAATATATTGTAACTTTGTGGGATAACAAATTGCAGCTAAAAGCCCTTCTTGTTAGATAATGAGAATAAATTGTTTTTTTTTTAATTGCAACGTTTAGAAGAGTCCAGCTCCTAAAAATTTGCAATTTTGGGAAAATAGAACGCTATTGCAGAAATGATATATAGTAGATATTTCTGAAGACATTTCTTTAATAATGTTCCTTATACTGCTTTTTAAAAATGAAAAACCGCCTTAACTTTGAAAACATTTAAAAAATAAAAAGACTTGGGCAACATCTATAACCCATCCCAATGAAATTTCTATACTGAAAAATAACACGTTGAAAATCAAACGTCCTTAAAAATATTGACCAACCGACAAGGTTGAACAATGGAATTTTTAAGTTGTATTATTTTTTCATATTCTTACCTGTACCACAGCCTGACCAGCCATTATTTTGGTCTTTTAAATGCAGAGACCAAAATCAGTGTGGGTTTATATTTGGATTCGTGTCCGTGATATGTAAAACGTAATGAATAAAATGAAACACGGCTGCACAGCTGTAGTTTTTAAAAATGGACGACGCCCGACATTATAACGAATAATGTTGCCTTGTTGCTTAATAAGTATGTTAGAGCCAGTTAAGTGTGTAATAAATACAAATTGCTATGAATTAGTCAAAGTATTACTTTTGCGGTATAATTCAATTTAAATGTGTACGAAAATATTGTAAGACAGTTTTCCTGTCCTATTTAAATCGAATTACAATTACTGTATTCGATGTAAGTGAAATAAAGTCACCCAAAACCGAACTGTCACGCCGTCACTGTCATTCAGTTGACAGATGGGTTGTTAAACTTTTGTGTACATTAAATAAATAAGCAAATTAAATATTCGATATGTTTTAATAATGAATAGATAATAAAATATTGCTAGCTATCATTTGCGTTTTCATTGAAAATATACTTCAATACGGAAAGATATGGCAGTTAAAAAGATAATTTTACTCTTAAGTGTAATTTTAGTCATCAGATGTAAGAACTTTCCTTAGTTTATATATCGCAGTCAGTTATATGCTATATTTTATGTTTAAAATTCCTGTATAATAATTAATGTAATTTCCAGTATCGCAATGTGAAAGGCTTCATGAACAAATATATTCATCGATTGAGGGTGGCGCTCCTTGTTATCAAAGGTTAAATGGAACTCATCAGACTGGTTGTACATGTAAGTTTACATTTCGTAATGTGGGAAAACACCTTCCATTTAACAAAGGGATACATGAAAAAGTTGGAAATTTGTTTCAGCACCTATGAATGGTGCAGTTGGAGTTGTGGAGATGATAAATGACATATCAGATACAGCATGGCTGGTAAACAATGCGACTGCAGGGCCGTACATGGCTGTAGTTAATACATCTATGTTCCTTGACATCATTGATTTGTTTCTGTTAACACCTGACAATATAGCCGGCATTCTAGTCTATCAGAATGGGTCTACAAGGTACTTTAATTAAATTAGTTTTTTTAATGATACTATTCTTAATTTATAAATATGTAAATTTGTATCTTGTGCATTTCTTTTTCTAGACCTAAAACCTTCAGCCAAGAGTCTACATGTCCGAATGAAGGGTCATCTGACCCCGCAAGTCAGTGCCCTTCGAGCAGCGGGGTGTCCTGGAATATGGGGGGCACAGGGATATTGCGAAAGAATATTCCATTCCCCATATTTTACCTTCCAGAAAGTAGAATTGAAGAAATAGACAAAATTAACAATTGTTATCAAAGGTGGAATATTTAATTTTTCTTACTGTAATTTTTATTTTTTGTATAATTGATGAAGTTTTTATAATTGCCTTACAAACTGTTCAATACTGAAACAAACCTTAAACACTATGCTTTAAATGTTACAATCTGGCAAACATAAAATTGTTTTAAGCATGGCTTCAGCATCTAAGATTAAATTTTATTATTTTATTTATGTATTGAAATTTTTTACAAAAAACACAAATTAGATATATGCATAAATATGGCCCTGCAAAAACCATATACATAATTGGTTTGTCTGCGGGTGCGGTATTACAATGTAATGTAGAGTGTACTAGTGTCATAATGGAGTGTAGTATAGTTGTGTAACATTTTTTTTTTGGGTAAAATTATATAATATACATACATAATATACTGTATATAAGTAAAATATTCTATTCAGGCGCTATTTTCAAAAAGATGGCTTTCCAAATGCTTAATAAATAGTTATTTTGAATTTAGATTTGCTATATTAAGTGGTAAATGTAGTTTCAGTATTTGGTCATAAGTGTCAACAATAATAGTATATCATATTAGACATTTGTTTATATTTTAGGTATAATCTTGACCGAGAAAATCAGAATGGCAAGCCTCTATGTTCTTTACAGTTGAAATCATTTATGTTTGCGGCTGTTAACTCTGAAGTGTGCTTACGAAGGTAGGTTAAACATCTATAAGTTACTTTTCGTTTTTCTCCTATTTCTTCAATTATATAACCTATACAAAAATACAAGAACCCACACCTTATTACGGAAAAATATCAATGTATAGTCCAACTGAAGCACTCTCAGGGTAACATTTTAATATTCTCAATTAGGATATATTATTGTTTAAAAAGTTATTTGTTTTATTTTTCAGATCAACTACATCAGCTCTATTGACACCCACTAAAGTTTGTGATCCCCTCGGAAATCAAAATGTATATTTTTCACTTTTCCCCAGAGGAAAGGTAATTGAGTTTTATTTCCTTACAATTCTAAGAGGAAACTAAATTAATTAATAGTGATTCAATGTTTTTTCTTTACAGGGTGTAGAAGTTAAAAACAAACCTATAACTCTGGTTACTGCTAGAATAGATACTGCATCTTTATTTGATGGTAAGTCAGTACATTTAAAGAAAAAATTAAAATTTGGTTCAATTTTAAATGTTAACTAGCTTTCGCCCGCCACTCCGTCCGCGTTCTTCCAGTGCTCTACATCTGTGCCAAATCTCAACCAGATCTGTTCAGCCGTGTGGGCTGCATACTCTAATATTCATCCATCCATCTAAACATTCATCTTTAAAGTATCAGATTTATTTATTTATTTAAGTAATACAGAAGCTATTCTATGTTCTTTACTATGGCTTTCATGACTATGCCTATCTTATATTATGTCCGAAATCAATGTAAATTATGTATTATTGTTTTGTAGGCCTAGCTCCGGGGGCGGCTAGCTCTGTGGTAGGGATGGTAACACTGCTCTTATCTGCGGTGACGTTAACTAAAATGATGCCCGTCTCTGACTCGAACTTGTATGGTAAGCCATAAACATTTATTTACTAAAGACTACTTTACTCCAGGGATATTTATCATAAATATACTTGAACATTCTTCAATTCATATGTTTTTATTTTATTTTTGTTTCAAACTGTAATTTTTAAAACATTATTAAGGCTCGGTGTACATAATTCCAGTCCAGCGATCTTTCTCAATTTAAACTTAAGTAATCTATTGGCTATATTTTTGAAAGTTACATTTATCTGGTAATGTATATTATGATTTAATTAAATTAAAAAAGCGGGAAATTATTTTTTTTACAGACAGTAATGTAGTGTGGAATTTATTTAATGGTGAGGCGTTTGACTACATCGGGTCGCAGCGCGTCGCGTACGAAATGAAGTTCGGTGCGTGGCCGATGTTCGCGCCCATGGACTCCACAGATGTCAAACTGCACGTTGAATTGGGTCAAATCGGTGGCTCTCTCAACCTTTATAGTGAGAACGCGTCATGGCCACTATATGCGTATGCGGCTGACAGTTATACACCGGTAAGTACTCTTCTTATGCAGGTACTTAGCCAGTACATTTTTAATTTTATTTTAGGTGGTTCACACTTGGCCATTACAGTTGGACAGTGCGACGGCCAGTCATATATTGTATAGCCTCTCTGGGGCCACATTGTGTTCACATTGTGCCAGTTTGACAGTCCAGTTATTGAGCGGTGCAAACCAACTGTATAGGCCAAGTGTAAACCGCGCTTAACTTATCTGTTCTTGGTTATAGGTGTGAGTGAGACAGATTAAAGTCATATTTTTATGATAATTATTTCACCGTATATTTTAGATCTCTTCGTATTTATGAACTTTAATATTATATTCTTTAAAAAAAACTGAAGAAGTGTCAATACTTTAGTATTATTTGTTTTTAGTAGTTATAATTGTTTTTTTTTTTAACTTTCAGGTAACAGAATTCCTCAATGAAATGCTAACGAACGCAAAACAATTCAATATGACGTTATTACCAGTGTTCACCAAAAACATACCGCCGTCCTCCTTGCACTCGTTCCGGAGGATATTAAAGAATGAGACGGAAAGCGGGCAACTGCCTCAAGTGCTGCTGGTCGATTATAAAGATACGTTTACTAACGCTTACTACGAGTCCATTTTTGATGACGCAGACAACATTGGCTTTGTTTACCGGAACATTAGTGTGGGACCAGACGGACTATGTGAGTAACAAATTATAATAAAATATGCTGAGATATTATACTTTACCAAAATCCATGCAACAAAAAACCTATACATCAATTTGACATATTATAAATCCTCGGTTTTACTGGATTTTGTTAAAAACTGGCTGTCGCTTGCGACTTCGCCCACGTGATATTAAGAAAATTGTGAAAAGCATAGACTATGTTACCATAGTGTGACTTTTTAATGGTGAAAGAATTTTCAATATTAGCCCAATTATTTTTGAGTTATTTATAAAAATTCAAATCTTTCCTCTTTATAATATTAGTATAGATTTGATTTTTTGCACTGAAATAATAAAAAAAAATCTTTAAAAGCGCTTTATACCTTTAAAATTTATTAATAAGCGAGAAAGATATGTAGGAGTAATCAGACTAATATTTTATATCTGAACGCTGAGATACAAGGGGTGGTTTATTTGAATGTATCTCTATAACCTGCCTATGAATAAATAATTAAATTATTATAGATGTTATTAAAATGAATAAATAATATGTTCTTTGTTCCCAGTTGTGCCAACAAGCGTTCTGTTGTCGAACGGCAGTATGAAGGAG